AAGTAAACAGTATTAACAAGATATAGCAAGTTCATCTATACTCTAGGCATAAACTTTAGCAGAATATGAAAACAAACACCAAACTTGTATTATAGTTAAACATGAAATCAAATACAAAAGAGAAAGTGATAGGAGAGAAGTCACCCTTGTCACATGAGCTTCAAACTCGCTATCTTTGTTGCTCAATTTTCATCCAAATCTAACTACAAATACAAGATGGATAAACTATGCTACCTGTACTATACTACTTTAACTAATGAACTAAGAAAAACTAGTGAAGACTACATTTTTTGTGAGTTTCTCTAGCCTTCCAAAGTTGTCAAAATGTCCTCCAAAGGCTGCTATTTATAGAGAGATTCAAGCTCAAGGTGAGTTGTTTTTTGGTTGGCAAAATTGGCTTTTTAACTCATCAAGAGTTGTTCTCCAAGTTTTCACACTCTTCTTGGTCAGATATAGCCGAAATTCTGAGTTGTAGATGAGCTGGAAAGGTTGTTTGAACAAAGAACAAGTTGCAAAGCAAGTTGTAGTAGAAAATGAAGAATTCACAACTTGAAAATGCGACCTTAGGTCACTTATTGCCTACCCACGTATTGCTTGTGCAAGTTTGTACTTTTTAGGTAGAATTCATCCTTGCTCCGTTTTTTGTCCAATTTCAACTAATATTTTCTCAATGATGAAGGCTGAACTACCTCTTGTGTAAAACATGAAAGTTGTAGCTCTTTAAGTCAGCTTTCCAATGCATTAAGAATCATCCAATTTGGAGCTCTGTGTACCAACAAATAACCAAAATACCCTCAACTGGTCAGAACCTTGTTTCAGCTTCGACCATAGAAAATGCACTTCTATATTTCGATTTTATGACATAGAAAATGACTGAACTGGATTTCGATATCTTCATGCCAAATGTATATCTATCTCTTACTTCAAAATGGTTCAAGAATCACCTCAATCCAATGCTTGTAACTCAAGATATAGTTGAAATATCACAAGGTGTCAAAACTTGAAAACTTGCATTTCATCCTTTGAATGTTTTGGACTTCATATTTTCTTTTTATCACTTCAAATCATCATCAATCATCCAATTATCTTCTCGAATCACTCCATTTGATGATTGAATCCTTAAATCTATAAAAACATGAAGTTTTTACCATAAAAATCCATAGCAATGCAATTTTTATACTTTAAACCACAAAATGCATATTTTCACTAAAATCATAGTTAATTAGTTATAAAAGTAAATAAATTACACCAAAACTAACTAATAAAACACATTAAAAATACGTAAAATATACACTTATCATCCGCCACCCCGTTTTTCAATCGAAACTTGAGGTCAGTATTCTCAAAAGATGCCCTTTCAAACTCCTTAGATGAAGTTTTGCACCTTTGTGTGAACTCCTTCAATGAATTTTGATGGAAATTGCAGTCTTTTTTCCTTTTTCAAAAGTAAATCCTTTTTGTTCCATTGTTTTAACATTATGGTTATTTTATTTAGTTAAAAATTAATTAATTTAGAAAATAGAGTGAGCTAAAAGTTTTAGTAGTTGAAAGTAATTCTCGTGGAATCGATCCTTACTCCCTAATATTACGATCCACAACCTGTATACTTGCAACGAATGAAAAAATAGGTTAAAATTTAAAGTGTTGGTTAGAACCCGTCACTCGACTTGACATGATGAGTGTGACTGAAAGCATCAAGTGACCAATATCTATATGCCGACACAACAATTCTAGTGAAACAATAATTCGTCCCTAATTTTCTTGCACTACCAAATGGCAAATGTCCACCGAACAGGTTCACGTGGGTTGATTTTTTTTAGCTGGTGTCACTTTTCTATAGAATTCAGATTAATTAGTGCGAGGCTGCTTTCACTGATCAAAAGATGACAATGCCGCTCACAATTCCATTCACTTGAATGTGAATAAACTATTTCTGCACTTAAACAAAGCGGCGAGAAAAATCATTAGTCTACTCCTCTGTTTTTAAACTCGGACCGGACCGGACCGGTTGAACCGGCCACGGCCATTTGGCCGGTCCGAGTTAATCCTCAAAACTGAAAAATAAAAAACTCGATCAAACCAGGTCAAAACTCGGGTTTGACCGGAAAAATGAACCCGGTCTTTTTTTTTTTTTTACTTTTTTTGAAAGGTCAGAATATTTTTAATATGATGTTTTGATCCTTAAGTTGTTAAAAATTATTAACATACCTCAAATATTTCATACTTTATAAATGTTGTCTTAAAGTTTGGTGTTATTTTTTAATTAAGTCCATAATTTTAATTCTAAACTTGTTAATGCTTATTAAATAATATAAATTACTACTTGATTGCTCTAATTTATTTATATTTTCTTATTAAATATATTTGAAACATCAAATATATATGAATATACCTTTATTAATATTAACATGTTATTAAGTATTTTACATATAATATTTTAATTTTTAAATATATTTTATTTATGACATCATCCGGTTGAACCCCTATCGAATCCGGTTGAACCCATTGACCCCTGACCCTTGAGCTCGACCGAGTCGTTATTCGATCCAGTTCTGAAAACATAGGTCTACTCTTGACTGCGAGCTATATATAAGGCTACAGGGAGTTGATCCATATTTGCAACTAAACTGTTAGAAACACAAGCCACCAAGATGGAAATAACCTCAGGAACGTGGATAGCAGTGCTGGTCAGAATTGTACCAGTGGTGGGGTGGGCGATGTGGTGGTGGAGTTATCTCTGCTTCGTTCTACCGGTTAAATTCCGGTGTTCCGGTTGGGACACAAAGCTTCCTGCTGGCAACATGGGGTTTCCACTTGTCGGAGAAATGCTTCACTTTCTTTGGTATTTTAGGGTTGTTAAACGACCTTGATAGGGTGTTAATTGTTAGTAATTTTATTGTTAATTCTCCTCTTTATCCTTGCCAAATATTGCTTTAATTGTCAATATATATTTATATTTGGTATTTGGATATACTTTCAGAAAGTGGAGCAGAAACCTTCTTGAGAAGATTATTGTGAAACTCTATACAATTGGCCCATATGCATGGTGTAAACCAACGTCCATTTCTTTCTATAATGAAAAGGAATTGAATTGCATTTGGCTGGCCAACATCTCAATTAGGTGGGGACCGCGAAGACTTGACCATTGTGTAAAGACACATTTTTGGTTTGCTCTCTTATTTGTGAACGTGTGCACTTGGTCAAAGGAAACCGACAAACCATAGTTGGCTTTGCTTTTGTTTTCGGTGGAGTTGATTAGGTAGGGAAGGAATGTTTTCTTTTGTGAGCGTGGAGTGAAGTTTCGAATTGGCTTGTTTTTTTTCGTGGGAGAGCCGCACATTTCGAGAGTCAGTTTTTCTTCTTCTCTTCCGTCTGGGAAGAGAAGTTTTTAGTTTTGGAGTTTTCTCTCAAAATAAGCTCCGTAGGAGGATAGAGGACTTTTTAGTTTTCTCTCCGAGGGATGTTCCAGAGGAGAGAATAGGGAGTTGTTTTGGTTTGTTGAATTCTAGTGTGCAATTTTCTTATTCTCTTCCGAGAGCTTTGTTATTCACTCTCTCAATTATCGAAGAAAGATGATGTTTTTAAATTCAATTGAATTGTGTGAAGATTTTCTTATGAGGCGTGGCTAATTTTCTCCTCTAGTCAAGGATCAATGCGAAGACGCAGTCCCAAATATCTGTGAGATCTAATTAATTTTACGTGTTCCTTAATTTATTAATATTTGCATGTTTTCTATTTTAATTTCCATGGGATTATTTTGTTAATTGGATATCAAGGGACCGATGTGCAATTTGACTTATTAATCTCTTGTCAAATTAATCAATTAAATCCGTAATTGTTTAGTTGGTTAATATTAGTGACAACTAGTATTTTCACATACTAGGGGGACATGCAATCTGATTTAAATAACCCTCGTAGCGTGTTATTAATTTGGGTTAGGCTTTTCTAGTTTTTAATGCAATTAGGAAATTAATTCCTACGGTCGTACCTAGGAGTATTTCCTGGTTAGGAGTAATCAACGGTCGTACCTTGGTTATCAATAAATTAAGGAAAAGCTGGTCGTTAGAGTTTATCGGCGGCTATAACTAGCCTATTAATTAAATTAAGTGAACCCCTGTGCATCAATGATCGGATGAATGGACTGTGTCTGCGTAGTTATATCCTTGGCTAGAATTTATTTATCATTTATTTAATTGCTATTTACAATTGTATTAATTAATTAATTATTTTTTTTGTTAAATTATTTAATTATTTTTAGTTAAATTGTTTAATTATTTTTAGTTTATTTCTGATAAAAATCCCCCCGTGTCCCGAACTTGAAAGGAATCAAATTTTTTCCAATCCCTGTGGATTCGACCCTACTCACTACTATACACAGAAAATTTATTTTTCTCGAGTAGGTATTTATTATTACACAGGCTCGACACTTGTCAGACCTGATGATTTCATTAACAATAAAAGAAACAAGTAAGTTTCGTTTTCCACGCTTGAGTGTTAAATAATTATTGTTCCATTTTATTTATTGATTTTGTTTGCAAAGCTAATGAACGTGCTACCAAATGCATAGGCCCAAATTTACACGTTTGCCTGTCATAGTTTTTTCAACTTGATATTTTAAATCCTTTTGCAACATTCTTTTAGGTCTGTTTTGATCGATGGGCTTGGGTGGATATGGATTTGATGTGTTACATCGAAGCGATAGAGATTTGAAATTGACCAATTAAATCATTAAATGGACGAACTTTCGGACTTAAAAATAATTAAATTGAAGTTCATTCAAATTTGGTGATATTTCAAATCCTTCCTAATCGGACATCAATGTCTTTTCCAAACCATTCATATGGAGTGAAGAACGGTGGTAAATTGATTTTGCTGTTTTAAAAAAAATGACCCCCCAAAAAAAATTATCGGAGTTCAATTTGATTTTTCTCGTTTGCGGTTTGAGGGCCCAAAAAATATGGTGTACTGAAAATTTTGTGCACGAGATTGAGAGCTCAAGCATGGCGGCTGCTGGAGATGATGTTGTCGGTGTTGCACCCCAGTCAGCAGAGAAGAAGAACAGAGGGATATCGTAGGATGACAATAGAAAAACTTTTAAAAACAATTTGACATTTAACCCCTAAACCTTTGACATTTTTTTTTTTACCCCAATTCCTTCTGTTGTTGTAAACTTTCTTGTTTTACGTAATCCTTAACCAATGAAGCAATTGAATTGATTAAGATTTCAAATGAACTGAAACAAATCCACTTTATATCTCTATATATTTGAACACAAGAAATGGATGTGTTGATAAATAGCAATCAAAGAGATGTCCATTTTATCGTGAATAATCAGTATTACCACAGATGGTGTGCAATAGGATATGTCTTTTTTTTTTCTTTTCTTCAAACATATGACCTTATGGTTTCAAAGCCTATACTTTGTACTTTGTTGTAGTGTAGAAGTGCTAATTCTTATGCTAAAACTAACAGTCAATATCTAAAAAAGTTACAAGTCTGTTTTGATCGAAGATGATTTGAATTTCTTTTTTAATAATGTTGTAGCCTTTTTTTGTGTTGTATGTGAGATAAAAAGTTGGTTAAAAAACAAATTTTAGTATAGAGAGATTTTCTGAAGAATGACCAATCGATAAACACATCCTTGAGTTTTTGGGCATTGACGGTTGGTTTTAACATTTTGTCAAATACTTTTTCACCTCAAGCTAGCTTGTATCTTCTTCTTCTATTTGAATAAATTGCCATTGTCATCACGTCATCATCTCTAATCTGCAAGTTCTCGTTAACTTGGGAATTGAATCGACATTTTTCTAATCGGCGGTCTGCAGATTAGTTATTGGTTTAAAAAGTAAATCAGAAAGACTTCACAATCAAAACCAAAATCCATTCCATCAGCTTTTGAGTAGAGTTAATTTTAGTTAACATGTTACTTTATAACCAATCATCTACTCAGATATGGTGATGGAGAAGGATTGTACAAAACCCATCTGTTCGGTTCACCTCTATAATTGCATGCTCTCCATCAGCTAACAAATCTATCCTTCAGTCGGATCAAGTCTTTGCAATGGGTTGGCCTGGCACTAAAATTACAGGCAACAAATTCCTCATCGCCATTGAAGGATCATCACATACAAGCATTAGAGGCTTGGTTGTAAAGGCCCTCAATCAACCTGATGCCCTCCGTAGGATAGCCATTATGGTCTAACCAGGAATAGTTGCAGCCCTGCAACAATGGTCCAAAGAAGGAAGAGTAGTCGTATTCAATAAAGGACAGATATAGCCTGATGCATATAAGAAGCTAAGAAGCCTATTTGAATCATTTAATGGGAATAAATCCACACCTTGTACTATATTCATTGGACAAATATAGCCTTACCTTTTAAATTTTAAATTTATTTGATGCTTTTATAATTTTGAGAAACATATATTTATATAGCAAAAAAGAGGAAAAACAAATGTTTGCATTATCTTTGAATATTGTACAAATGCATAATATTAATTTATAATTTATAATTTAATTTAGCAATCAAAAGATTTTTAGTTACTAATAATGATGTAAATAGGAATATCAACATATTTCAATTTCATAAAATCAAAGTCTAAGCATTTTTCAAGGTGGAATTTATATTCATATTGACTTCATATTAGTATTCATCTTTTGGTTATGTGTAAGTGTTAAAAGGGCTCTTAACAAAATAAACAAGAAATGGGAATCTGTATATAAAACTCATATAAAGATTGGGGGTGAATTTTTTTTTCTTTAGAAAAGATATTACTATAAAAAGTTTTGATTAATGCTTAAAGTCAAAGGTATCAAATGTCTAACAAATATATAGGATGTGGATTTATTATGTTTGGGTGTGAATTTAGTCCTTCCCTAATTTAATCACGTGACTATGTGTACTTCAAATTCAAAGTTGTATATATTTTCAAACCCAGAGAAAGAAACCAAAAGAGATTGAACGAACACAAAACTCAGAGAAAAATTAATTTATTGTCTTTTTGAGTGTTTGAAGACGAATCATAGTGAGTGAAATCTGAATACAAAATTACCGGTATTAATTATTCCATAGTAACACAATTGTTAATTATAGTTTGCAACTTTGACAGATTAAGCAATTAGAGAATCATATGATGAAGCAATTACTAAAAATGAAAAATAGCAAACCACCTCTAATATAAGCAAAAATAAAAATAAAAGAATGAGTGTGTGAGTGATTTGAAAAAGAATAAATTAATTTTAGTAGGCAAAAGAAAACTGAAAGCGGTAATATAAAAAAATTGAAAATAAAAATACACAAGAAGACTGTAGATTAGTCCCTCCAGTGAATTCTATACCATATTCTCAAATGGAAATTTTAACTAATGGTAGTTGACCGTTACCCCTAACTTGAAGGGAGTTTTTTGCAATTAACCCTTAGCGCTTGAGTAATTTCACTCTTGGGAAGTCCATAGCTTTTCATATTTCCTTGTGTGAGCTAGACTTAGAAACCCAATTCTACATAAACAAGGCCGTTGATCGATGGATCCCCTCATTAATTCAGAAAGCCAAAACATTTTTTTACAGATGTAATAAACAAGAGAAAGTGTGAAGGGGATGCTGCAAGAGCTGAGTATGATTTGTTGGATCAACTCTTGCATCTAAAAGATGACGATGGTAAGCAACTTCAAGATACAGAGGTGCTCGACAACATCGTAGGCCTCATAATTGCTGGCTATGAATCTACTTCCCTTTCAATTATGTGGGCTGTGTATTATCTCGCAAAGTACCCAAATGTACTTAAAAGACTACAGGTAGAGCTGTTAATCGAGCCGAGTCGAGCCGAGTATTTGGCTGCCGAGCTCGACTCGAGTTTAATTCGAGCCGAGCTCTACTTGAGCTCGTTAGGAAAACGAGCTTTAAAATGTGTTCGAACTCGACTCGTTAAATGTACATGTGGCTCGAGCTCGAGCTCAAGCTCGACTCGTTTATCACAAACGAGTCGAGCTTCACGAACTTGAGCTCGAGCTCGTGCAAATTAACCTTAATAAAAATCTATAATTTTTAATTTTTATAATTTTGATTTCTAAAATGACAAATATGCCCTTCACTAACGAGCTCTAATGAGCTACTCGAGTATCAAACGAGTCGAGCTTACTCGGCTCGTTAACTAAACGAGCATGTTTCGAGCTCGAGCTCGACTCGTTAACCAAAATTAACGAGTCGAGCTCGAACCTTTACGAATCGAGCTCTAACGAGCTTTCGAGCTACTCGATTGACTTAACAGCTCTAACTACAGGTATGGTTTCCCAACACAAGCTAATTTATGACATTGAAAATCAGATTTCTTCAGTTATTCTTGATTAAGTTTGTCATCTTCACGATTGTAAAACAAATTAACTGCAGGAGGAGCACAAGAATCTTGGTAGGAATGGTGATTTCATCTCTCGCGATGACATTGTAAACTTGCAGTACACAAATAAGGTATATCAATTCAAAGATTATATGACTAAACTCGAAAAACCAATGCTATTAAACTATTAAATTACCTGTGTATCTTTTTGTGCAACTCATCATTTTTGTTCGATACATTGGTTGTTGTGCTGAAGCATCTTGCCATATCGGAAAAATTTTAGTAAATCCAGTTCAACTATTTATCATATAGTTTAATCTTTCGTATCATGATAGTGAATACATCATTAGCTCTAAATACATGATACGTATATAAAATTTGAATTTCAATATACAATTTTGCACATATACATGCATCTTCTTCTTTTTTTTTGTCATATAACTACGTGTGGCATCCTGAATCACCATACCAACCTGCCCAAACCGTGTAAGTTGTTTCACTGGGGATTCGATCCTTAGCAGTGGTACTCACCTAATTAGGCTATTACCACCAGACCAAAGCCCTGAGGGCCAACATATACATGCATCTTCACTTGCTAGTATATATAATGATAATGTAAAAAAAATTTTATCCTTATTTGACCACATAGTGGATGATGTGATTGTACATTGAGGACATAATTCGCTGCTAGTGACTATTGCCTTGATCGTCTTAATTTACTCATATTTCGGGGAGTGACTTGCAAGCAGGTTGTGGAAGAAACAATAAGACCGGCCCATATTTCACCATTTCTTTTCCGAACAGCTAAAAAGGATTTTGAGTACAAAGGTAAAAGTAAATTTCTTTGTTTTTTTTTTAAATTCATTTAGTTTATCAAATAAAAGGAATAAGTGATTCTATAAATTTCTTTCAGAAGGGTAAACTTTGCATTCTTTGGAGCATACAGCTTATCTCCTTCTGCTAATTAAAAACTGATGAAACTCTTACAGGTTACAAAATACCTAAAGGATGGAAAGTGATCTGCTGGCTACGATACGTTCATGCTGATCCAAAAAATTTTGAAGATCCGTTAAGTTTCAATCCAGATAGGTGGAATGTAAGCAGAAATATCATTTGCATCTTCCTGGAAAACGTGAATTTTAATTTACATATATAATTATTTAACTTCGATATATACTTCTTTCAGGGAAAACCAAAGCCTTGGACAAACTTGATCTTTGGAGGGGGACCAAGGATATGTCCAGGAAATATGCTTGGTCGAATGCAAATTGCCATTTTCATCCACCATTTGGTCGTAGGGTACAGGTATGTGATACACGACACTAATTTTATCCACCAACTGTTGGTTTATTTTCCAATTTACAAAGAAAAAGGCTAAATTCAAAATTGACAAGTTCTTGTTTATTCAGCAATCAAAGTTATCGCACAAATGCAACTCTAATACTGATGAAAAAAAAAAATGAGACATGTATATTTTTGAAACTTTTCAGGTGGGAACTGGTCAATGCTGATGCAGGAATGAGTTATTTGCCACTTCCACGACCAATTGATGGGGTTGAGATCAACATAACCACAATCTAATCAAGAATGAAGACCCTTTCGAAGATTTCAGGCCTGAAAATACTATTTATTCGTTGAGCATGTGGCTAGAAGGCTCTATGACATACATTATGCTGTAACAAACTTCCATCTTGGCCTCTACTTCTATTAGGAGGATGCGGTTTATCACTTGGTCACACAAAGTCTATGGCGGGCTATTTCCAAAACTTATACACGTCTCTATGACAGATTTGTCTTATTGCACCACTTCAATGTATTTGTTGGAGTCAGTAACATCGGAAGAAAAAGGAGCAAGACAGATACAAAGAATATCTACTTGCTGCAGATTATGGGATAATTTCAGAAACCTCCCTTGAGGTTTTTGACAATTTCATTCGGCTCTGCTGAGGTTTCAATAATTGCATAGACCTCCCTTAGACCAATCAAATGACTAAAATGTCCTCCACTTAATAATTAATTCATAAAGGGATGTTTAAAGCCGAAAATACTTCTTATTATTCTATTTGTCATTTACTAATCTCAAAAAATAATTTACATCAATTTTCTAATTTTCATCTCTTCCTCCCTAGTCCCTCCCTCCCTCCCTCCTTCTTTCATATTCTTCTCTCTTTTTCTCCTATAACCGCTTCTCCCTTTCATCAAATATCGCACTCCATTATTACCAATCACACCACTATCAACCTTTTACTATCTCTAAAATTTCTCTGTATTTTTTGTCTTTTTGTCTCTTTCATTCTAGAAAAATTTTAGACCCTTTCTTTTTTTTCCAATAGTTTTACTCTTTACAAATGTTAGCCAATTGAAGTTACCAAATTAACAAGGTGCAGGGAAGATGAAAAAGGTGGCAGTGAAGAAAAAAAATGAAATTGAGAGTTGGAACATAAAGAAGTGACTATTATGTTTGTTAAGCAAAAAGTCTAACAATTACTCATTGGTTCTCTCTTTTATTTACCTATTGACTGTGGTTTTATTATAAAGGCGGACTTTTGTTTCTATTTCTGAGAGTGCTAGAGCAATGATAAATTATATTTTTAGGGGCATGGGGGCATTTCTTAGTTTAATATTGGTAGTGGTGGTAGTAAGTTGCATTAGGCAAGAGTTAGCAAGTAATAAATTTTGAGATGAGTTAGAGTCGTTGGACTTTGTTTGTTTTAGTGAGTATGACACGTACAATAAATTAAAGATTAAAACCTTGTTTTGTTTTGTCTTGTTCTTTGAAGAAGGTGTTTTAGAATATTTGTGAAAATTTATATTTCATTGGGCCTATATTGTTACATAAACCTTAAAAATAAGGGTGGTAGGTGTAATTTTTGAAACTTGAGAAGAGCTCTCTGCAATTGCTGGAAATCTCGAGGGAGGTTTCTAAAATTATCCCCCGGATTATTTATATGTTTGTATTGTTTTTCCTTTTTTTTTAACAGAAACGTTAGGAAATATATTGATTTCAAAACAAGCTATACAAACTTGAGCACCGGCCCATAAGGAGCTCTACAATTGTGTCATTTGACACAGAGGACTTGGATATTCCTCATCTTGCGCTAATGTAGTAGCATACTTACTAATTCTTCTCCCTAATCTATTACACTGGTTGGCAACTAAGCTAAATGAGCAGTTCATAAACAAAGCTTTGAACATGTGAATGTCTTCCAATTGAGCAAAGAGTCTTATGTCTGTGGTCTTGGTATTTCTCAGCATTCGTACCATCTGTGCGAATGAAACAAGCAGATGCACAGCAGGCCAATGCTTTTCGCTGATTTTACACAACGCTAATTTGAGTGCAGCAGCATAATCCAATAAAGTGTCCCCTATACTTCTGTCCTTCATGGCACATGCAGCATGCACCTTGTTGTCCTTGGTTGCCACTATACCAATGCTCACAGTTTTCGTTTCCTTCTGCTGGCTCACCTCCACAACAATTGTCATTGTGTTGCTGTTTGTTGTGTCACCTGGTGCCTCTTCATTGCTAGCTGATGTTTCCTGTCTGCTTGCCAGCTTACCTGTACCTTGCACTTCAGTGTATTCTATCCATTCTAGATGAGCTTTCTGTACAATGTCAAAAGGATTCCTACTCTTGTTGTTGAAGATCTTCTTATTCCTGGCTTTCCACAGTTGCCAAAGAATGTTCACGGTAAGTGCTTGGTGCTTCCATTAACTCAAAAACCCCCCAGTTTAAAGTTTTCTTTGTTGCAACCAACGGCCCTTTGTACATTGGTCTCCTATCACGTTGCCACTCTTTGTAGATTCTTCAAATCTTTATGAGTGCATAGTACACCAGTTTGATTCGATTGTGATTCAATTCCTAATTTTTCAATTAACCTAATTAGACCTCTCCTAAAATAGACTAGAGTAGGAGTAGAGTAAATGTTGTCAATTAAAAAAATATTAAAAAAGAATAAAGTTTTCTTTCTTGCAAGACGTACCTGGAGAATTTTCAATGGCGAGAAAGAGCTCAATGTCAGCTCTTATCTTTTTTTTTTCTTGGTCTAGGAATTATGATTTATACTGCCTTGTTTACTGGTCTATGTTATGTGCTTATATACGTAAGAAAATGTGTGTACAAAAGATGGAGAGAGTTTGTTGTGAAAGAGAAAGAATGCATACGTGTAATGAAGTGCGTTTGAGAGAGAGAGAGAATGTGCTCGTGTGTGACAAAAGGTCGAGGTACATGCATGTGTACGTGAGAATGAAAATGTGTTCATATAAAGTGTGTGAAAGAAAAAGTGTATGAAAGAGGAAAGGAAAAATCTTCAAAACATGGCTCACATTTTGTTAAATAAAATTTTCATCATTTACTTTTAAAATGGTAATTTTATATTGTTTACAAACTTAAATTAGTAATATTTGGTCTCAACCTATATTTTTTATTTTTTTTAACCTAAATTCGTTATGTGAACCATAAATCATACATGGCCATTTTTTTTAGATATAAAAAGGTTAAATCCCATTTATAGTTAAATAAGTGATTCGATTCATATTCATTTTGCCCTCTAAAAAAGTAAAATTTGATCCAAACTATATTAATTTTTCTCCTAAAAAAGGGATTTGATTCAATTAGGACAGTCAATGGGACTGGGCAAGTTTGAGCTCAACTCATTAGGTTTGAGGAAAAGTTCGATGAGTCTAACCTTTCATTGAGTTATGCTGAATTTGGATCTAAATATTAAGTTCGAATTAAATGTGAGCCAAACTTGAACCTTATTATGCTCAAACTCGACCCTTTAATCTACATCTATATATATAATTATATATAATATATTTATATTTTCATATATATAATTATATATCTAAATATATAATACTAATACTTTATACTTATGAGTTATGTGCCAAAATATATTAATGTATATAAGAAATATTAAATATACAAAATTATGTCAAAAGATTCAAAAGGACAAATCCAAGTACGAGCAAATTAAGGATCTTTGAAAATATATTGATTGTTGACCATATTTATTACTATTTTTCATGTACTTTGAACAACTGGATATATTATTATTGAAAAATTCTTGGTTTATATACTTTTTAATGGATTGTGTATAGTTTTAATGTTATGGTCATGTTGATGTTAAATTAACTTTAGAACTTAACAGTTATATTAATTATATTAAGGAAATTAAGAAGCAATGAGCAAGTTTGGACTCAATCAAAATTAGGCTCACAACCCCAATATCTTATGAGTCAAGTATGAGTTTGGCATTGATCAACTCAAAACTTATAATCCAAAACTCGAAAATGATACTAATTACTTGAGTCAAGGCTGGGCTTGTTAAAATCCAGTTCAGATGGCCCAATTGATAGATAGGTCTAGATTCAATCCATATTCATTTTTACCATTAAAAATGTGGGATCTGGCTTTTTTGTACCTAGAAAATGGTTGTATATAGGTCACGTGGTAATTTCAAACTAAAAAATAATTGAAAACTTAGTTTGAAACCAAATTTTGTTAACTTAAATCTGTAAGGGACGTAAACTTAATATTTTAAAAGTGAAAAATGAAATAATTAATTTGATGGAATGTGATTGACGCTTTGAATGATTTTCCTAAGAGATAATTTTTAAGAGAAGATGTTCAGGGGTAATAAAAAAAAGAGAATGTAAATAGACAACAATAAAAAAAATTACAAATTAAGTCTATACGTGATCAATTTAGCAAATTCAGTAAACTTAAAAATTTAAATACAGATTAATGAGTGCTTAATGTATTAAAAGGTAAAGCAATATAATTCAAAAAGTTCTTCGTGGAGTGATTTTCAATGTCAAGCAAAATTATCAAAGAGCCTTCACAGATAAAAGACACGGCATAGGCAACACAAGATTACTACTGTCAACACCCAAATCTTCCAAACCCATAAATACAGAAGGGGGGGAAGCATAACAAAATGAGAGGACTGAAAGGAGCCTGAAGCCGCCGCCACCACTATGCTTGAATTTTTGAGCACTGAAAGCAGCCTGAAGCCGCCACAGCCACTACTGAGCATTGCTTCAGGCTGCTTGCGGTTAAACCGCAAGGTTGCTTTTTTTAATTATTATTATTTAACCCTTTGAAACAATGCCCGGAATAAGTGAATCTAAAATTCATAGATGTTAGAGGCTTAGAGCATGAAATCCACTTGTACGCATGGGCGGATTTAAAAGCCAAAGCTTCATGTCATCCAAACAGCTACAATGGATTTGGGATGGGATTTCAAATCCAAAACCCCCCAAATCCAGTGATTCAAATGCACTCTAATAAATTGCTGACTTAGTTTCAGTTTCTTTAGGTCAACCAATTTTTTTTTTAATTTTTTTTTTTTTTAGTGTAAACAGGAGGACTCGAACCCGAGACCTCTCACTTACACTCCCTCCCCATGTATCACCCAACCCAACCCTCCCCCCTTTAGGTCAACCAATAAATGCTATCAATCGTGATAAATCTATTGTCCCATTTCTGGTACATTGGAATGGCCTAGAATGGAGAGGGCTCTCTCACT